ACCCTATAGAATCCCAGGCTAAGTACCTCTAGGGTACCCTTGATATTAAAGGCAGACTAAGTCAGCACAACAAATGACAGACAAAACCAAAACTCAGGTTCTCAAATCTCAGCTTTGGGCTCTTTTTGCTCCTAGCCAACTCCTACCATGCCATATAGAAAAGGAAAACTGTTTATTTATTGCTCTATTATGACCTAAACCAGGATTATTTGGCAATTGCTCTCCAGAAAGTTTAATGTCAAAACTTCAGTTTCATGAAACAACAGGTTTGGTCAAGGCCAAAATGCTTTGAGACTTTCTTTTCTTCATGGTATTTCCATTGCTGCTGCTTGCCAAAACCCAAACTACATACCCAGATGAAAATAAACATAAATCCAAAAACCTCAGAAATGGCCTGAGCTTAGTGCAAAGAGTGAATGAATGATGGCTTAGGTTCACTTGTATTTTATCTGAAGTAAATCCTTCATTTTTATTTAGAACAAAATTAGTGTACTGGTAAAAAATTAAATATACCCTTCCACCTCCAACAAGAGATATCCAGAAATTCAGCCTACTCCATCAAATGTTGGGAAAATTCCAGTGATTGATGACATATTCCAGTTATTTCCTCCATTATTTCTAGTAAGGTGTCCAGCAAAGAATGGAGCTTTCTTTATAAAATAAAAGGAAACCTTGGGTCCCTAACTCTCAAAATCACTCATCCTTGGAGAAAAAAAAAAAATGATAGCACCTTTTGTGAGGGGTACCTTAATGTCAGAAACAACCAAGTGAGAAATTCTCTGGGTTATTATCATTTTGTTTATTTTTCTGTGTGGATTTAGTGACTTTTTTTTTTCTAATTTGGACAGGATGAGGCACATAAAAGCATTTATTAAAGGACATAATTTTGCCTGAAAATAAGCCCTGTCTGCCCCCACAGGATGTCAGTGCTCTCTGCAGACCTTGTGTTGATTACCCTTTATGGGAAGTAGTGGTCAACTCTAATTAACTAATTTACTTTCAACAAGTGTTTAATTAGGGCCTTTGCCCATATGTTATGCTCCTTTGAAGATTCTGCACAATGTCAGGACTTTATTAAAATACAATGAATTAATCTGGTTCTCTGACATATAGGTCTACGAGCATCTAGAAAATAAAATGAAACCATTGACAACTACTAAATGTAATAAATATATATTGAACAGATTAGAAAGGTTATTGGGCCAGCCACCATGAAGATAAAATACAGAGACTTCAGAGACTGGAATGGAAGATAAGCACATGAAAACCGAAGAGCAATCTTCAAAAATGGCATAATTATACTCACTGAGGGTAGACTGAGAATAATAGTCAACATTTTTTGACTTTTAACTGTGGACCAGATACTTTTTGTGCCCTGTCTCATTTGATACTCACAAGAACTCTTGAATCTAAATCATCCTCACTTTGCAGGTGAGGGAGCTGAGAGAGAGGTTAAATAACTGGCCCTGTTACATCTGGCAGGTTGCAGTATGAGGATTCAAACCTGGAAAGTCTTAGGGAATTTCTGAGGTACCTTAAAAAGGTGCTTTCCAAACTGTAATGTCTGTAGGAACCACCAGGGTTGGCTTGGGGATCCCGTGAAACTGCAGATTCTAATTCAGCGGGACATGGGCGAGGTCCAAGAGTCTGTACTTCTAACAAGCTCCAAGCTCCAGGTGTTGGTCCTGTGGCTCACCCTCCAACCATGCTTTGAGTAGCAAGAATTTAAGTGGACAGTGAAGATTTCAACAAGCCAAAATGTGGTAGAAAAGATGCTAGAGGCTATGAAGGATCAGAGAAGATCAACAAATGAATCCATGATGTGGAGCTAATTGCAGAGTCAGTTCTCCAATCCAGGGCCTCAATTTTCCCACCTGTAAATGAGTGTTCCCAGATGTAATAGAGTAAGAATCTATGATTCTATTATAGGATAAGAAAAGAGGGGACATCAGACCTGAATGAGAATTGCTTGCAGAACTCTTCACAATAGCAAAGACATGGGAATTAACCTAAATGCCCATCAATGACAGACTAAGGAAAATGTGGTACATACCGTGGAGTACTATGCAGCCATAAAAAAGAACAAGATCATGTCTTTTGTGGGAACATGGATAGAGCTGGAGACCATTATCCTGAGCAAACTAATGCAGGAACAAAAAATCAAGTGCCATAAGTTATCACTTAGCAGTGGGAGCTAAATTATGAGAATTCATGGGCACAAAGAGGAGAACAACAGACACTGGTGCCTACTTAAGAGTAAAAGGTGGTGGGAAGAGGGGAAGAATCAGAAAAAAATAACTTTTGGGTGCTATGCTTAATACCTGAGTGGCAAAATAATCTGCACAACAAACCCCCATACATAAAAATCCTGCACATGTACTCCTGAAACTATAACAAAAGTTTTAAAGAATAAAAAATTAGAAAAATAAAAAAAACTTTTTGCACAGTGTATTAATAAGGATGTTGGACCCAATTCTCCAGATTCCTAGGCGCATCGACCAAGTGAGTAGGTTTAGGAAGAGACATAGAAATCTAGAAAAGGCAGTCTAGAATTTGGAAGTTTTCACAAATAAAACTTATATATGTGATCCCAGATATGGATAAATTAATTATCCAAGAATAATGACAGCTCCTATTTACTTGGTGCATAGTCTATGCTACTCATGCAGTAAATGTTGGATATTTTATATGTATGTTTATAAAATATGCAGTCCTCACAAAATCTCTGCAATGTTTTTGAACTAGATTTCAAGTTATGTGAGCCTATAAATTTTCTTTTTATTTAAGCCATACTGAGTTGGGGATTTTGTTCCTTTCAGCAAAAAATACCCTAACTAATTCACATCTTCTATGCCAGGCATTGTAGATTTAAGATGAGTTTCCCCAAAAAGCTCAGTGACTCATGGTGGGGGAAAGGGTGTCAGACAAATAAAGTTGTGATAAGTTTCAAAACAGAGATTGATTCAAGTTGCTATGGAAACACAGGGGCAGGATAGCAAAGTTTTAGGAATGGAGAGGCTGACTTAACTATTGAAGAATGAGCAAACAGAATGGGTAAGGAGGGCATCCCTGGTGAAGGGATTGGCTTGAGCAAAGGCATAGATATGTGAGAGAGCATTTCAAACTCTGCAAGCAGCTAGTCTTATCTGCCAGTCTAAGTAATAGAGACTAGCAGCAGTTCTGTTCAGGAAACAAAGAATGATTTTTATCTCCTCTAGCCACCATGCAGAAAAAGCATATGGTGCTGGGTGTGGTGATTCACACCTGTAATCCCAGCAGTTTGGGAGGTCAAGGTGGGTGGATCACCTGAGGTCAGGAGCTTGAGACCAGCATGGCCAACATGGCAAAACCCTGTCTCTACTAAAAATACAAAAATTGGCCTGGTATCGGGGCAAGTATCTGTAATCCCAGCTACTCGGGAGGCTGAGGCATGAAGAATCGCTTGAACCCAGGAGGGAGAGGTTGCAGTGAGCCAAGAGCATGCCACTGCCCTCCAGCCTGGGCAACAAAGCAAGACAATGTGTCAACAAAAGAAAAGCATATGGGATGATACTACCTTGAGTCTCACAGACCTGGGCTTAAATCTCAACTTAGTCTCTCATTAGCTATGCCATCCTAAGTTTCTTAACCTTGCAAAGCCTTCATTTCCTTAAAAAAATAAAGGGGTTGATGATGTCTAATTTGCAAGTAGTTTAAAGTTGAAAGATGAGATAAAGTTCTTGGTATATTATTATAACTGATTATGATTCCTGTCTATATGCTAATAATATAAAGAAAAAGAGACATCATCCCTGCTTTGAGATACTCTAGTTGGAAAGTGCTATATGCAAGTAAGAAGTTTGCTGAGAATGAGGGATGCGCAGGACAGTATGAGAAGTAAGCTTTAAAACTTAGTTTGGTAATAATATAAATTATTAATTAATTTAAAGATAATATAAATAGGTGATCAAGTTTGTATTTAGGATAATGGCTTCCACAGCTGTGTCAAGAATTCACTGAGAATAGAGACAGCAGGAGGTGATTGGAGAGTGAGCTAGGAAGTCGCAGTAAGATGAAGAAAATTAGATAGAGGCTGGGCACAGCGGCTCACGCCTATAATTCCAGCAATTTAGGAGGCTGAGGCAGACGGATTTCTTGAGCCTAGGAGTTCAAGGCTGTGAGCCAGCTGTTATAGCTTCATTGTACTCTATCGTAAGACACAGAGGAGGGAGACTGTATCTCAAAAAAAAAGAAAAGCAAGAGAGAGAGAAAGAGGAGAAAGGAAGGAAGGGAAGAAGGAGAACGAAGGAAAGAAAGGAAAGAAAAGGAAGGAAGGCAGGAAGGAAGGAAAGAAGGAAGGAAGGAGGGAAGGAAAGAAGGAGGGAAGGAAGGGAGGAAGGGAGGAAAAGGAAGAAAGGAAGGGAGGAAGAAAAAGGAGGGAGGGAGGAGGGAGGGAAGGAAGGAAGGAAAGGAAAGGAAGGAAGGAAGGAAGGAAGGAAGGAGGGAAGGAGGATTAGAAGTGAAATTGCCTGGATTTCATGCCTAAGCTAATGGGATAATGATCATGTTTTTAGTTCTTTGATGTTTAATATTGGTGCCATTCTCCAGAAATTAGGAATACAGGCAGTAAAGCTAGAATCATCAAAATTTCCCATTTTTGTTTTCCTCATCTGATCTACCAAATGCTTGACCAACAATCATCCTTGTCCTGTAATCTGTGTCATCAATATGCAACGTTCAGCATACTGCATTACATTCTGCCACTCGTGTCTAAACTTTTCTCCATTTAGGAATTCTCTAAGTGCAGTCCTTAAACCAGCAACATCAGTATTATATGGAAACTTGCTAGAAATGCAATTTCTTGGAGTCCATTCCAGTTTCTCTGAGGCTAGGCCCAGAAGCTTGTGTTTAAACAAGCCCAACAGGTGATTCTGATGCATGCTGGATTTTGTAGAATCACAAGTCTATAATTACCTTCAAGAAGCTAGGTGTTTTGTTAACCTCCTGGCTTTCACACACAGAAAGTGCTCCTGCGAGATTCTGCTCCTTCCCATGCAGAGCAGAAGTGTCTTGAGGATGGAGCAGAGAAATGGCCCTGACCACAAATACAGGTGAGCTCCAACTGGGAGAGTTACAGTGAGTTTGGGAAGCTCTGTAACTAAATTGGCATAAACTGGGTTTTCTTCTCAAAGCAAATCAGAATCCCAGAGTGACCATGATACACTCTGAAAAACAACCTCACAATTAGTCCTGGATCAAAGCCCCCAACTCCACTAGGAGAAAAATTGGGGACCAGTGAAATATGTGAGAGAGAATCAAATGAAAAAGTGTCCCCCAAACATGCTCGTGTATATTGAGTCATTCCACTATTCTTATAGACAGAGGCACTCAAACTCCAAGAGACAAATATAATAGCTCATCATGCCAGGTCAGTGGGTAGAATTTCAGGGGTCAACAAGCCATGGTCTTAAAGGCTCCAGTTACAAACTAGACCACCAGACAGTTGCTCAATTGTATACTGGCCTCTGCGGCACAACCTCGTGCGTTTCAGGGTGGTGGGGGGGCAGGAGGTGTGTTGCTTGGCTCTCAGAGAAAAAGTATTAATCCTATCATGACCCTTAGGTCTTAGCTCCCAATTGCCCACTAAATGTCTGATTAAATGGCATCCCTGGGTGGGCTGCAATTGCTATGGAATCCTTTCCTGTCAGTTTTCAGAACAAAACCCTATGTATAGAAGTATTTTCTTTCTCATTAAATTTTTATTTCTTCATCCATTGAGCTCTTTTTCTTGGAATATTGTTGAAAGTGTTTAACTTAAACTGCTCCATCCCTGATAATATGAAAACTCTGATTCCAAAGTCTCCTTTCTCTAATGACAAGAGGCTGTGTGGGATGAGCTGGGTAAATATCTACAGCTGCTGGCCATCAGGACTGCTTAGTTTCTTACAGTTCATCTCCTCCCTGACCCTCCAAGCTAATTACACTCACAGCCTTGCTCACAGCTAGACATCCACAGGCAAGGTCTAGACATATAGGACTACACAGAGGTCAAATGGAGGACCTTTCATCTGTTTGTTTGTGTTTCCTCACTCTTAATAGGAATTGTTTAATGCAGGTAGCCAGACAAAAAGGGACTCACAATCTCAGCTCAAAATGTCCCAGGCCTTTGGGACACCTACTGTAACTGCCTCTATTCCAGTCTCTCAGGCTGCATTTTTACCACTGGCACCCTTAGAATCTCAGAAAATACTGGGCTCTGAGTCAGTTTGGGCAGGTTTCCTCATTTATGTAATCTTGACTTTCCTTATTTGCAAAATCAGGGTAGTTGTAAAAGTAAAATGAGAAAATGCAGGTAAAGTCAGTGTTGTGCCGAGTACATGGCACAACACTGAGATGATATGATTGTTGCAACATTGTGGGTGCTCTTCCCAGATCACCCAAGATGTGTTTTCACCATTTGTGTGTGCTTTCCTCAAAAGGCAATCAACTAATGATTTTTAGGTGTAAAAATATGAAAGCTGCTGAGTCCATTAAGACCACAAAGATGCTCTAGAATCAAAGAAACAAAACATGTTACAAAAATGAGGGAAAGGGTCCTCTTTGCTTTAACAAAATTGTTATGGCACAGCTTTGTGTTTATCTTCCTAAATTTGTGGTCATTAACAGTGCCAGTGCTCACACCAAAGGTGCTAATGTCCGTGCTAGTACCAGCTTAATGTACTAGTGGAGGCCATTACCTCAAGGGTGAGCAAGCGGCTTCAAGGTCTTGATCGGGGCAATAGCTGGAGCAAATCATTGGCAGGCACTTGTAGCAATGTGGACAGTTGAGAGAAGCTCAGAGGACTGTGAATTCTCTAGGTTCTCCTAAAATAACTAGGGAGTCTGGGGTGAGCTAAAAGTCCATTAATAGTAAGTAAAAAACAGAACCAGAAAAATATAAAGTGGCACTAAATCAGTATGAATTTTCTCCATGATGTTCGAGGTAAAAGAATGGCAGCCATAGAACTCCTTACCCCCTCCCCACAGCTCCCTCATCCCACAGAACCACAGAGGAAGAAGCCAGAGAATGGGGTGACCAAAGGAGAACAGCAGGTTTTTGTGTTGATCCAAATTTTTAATACCCAACTTGGCTTAGGTCAAGAACTAGTGATCAGCAGGCTATAGCATGAAGACTGCCCCTCAGCATCCTGTGTTTACATCCTCCTCTTTCAACTCACTCTGTACCTCCTGGCTCCCACTCGCAGAATACACCTATGTGAATTGTCAACCCCACTAATGTGTGATATTGGCAATAATTTATGCTGATGTCTTTTTCAAAATCTAGCTCAGCCCTGCACAACTCATAGGATATCCAATTGCTGTCATTTTTTTTATGTGACCCCTCTCCTTCCTATAGCTGTCCAAGGGTCCTGGGTAGTTCCTGGTGAAAAGAAGTCTCCATATCTATGAATTTTATTCTACAATTTCTTATTGAACAAGCCCTTATGGCTCACTTGAAAACACTTTCCTATTTCAACCAGGCTCCCAAAGCCATGGTGCTTAATGCTATAGTTAATGCCAGTCCCTGAATATTAATATGATCAGCTCACATGAGTTCTGTCACCTGCAGTGTTCCAGGTGCTACTCCTCTATCCTTCAAGTGTCAAGCAATTTCACTTATCCCTCAAACAAAACTTCCTTTTTGGTCAGCTCTCAAGACCACCCCAGCTACAAAAATCTAGCTCTAAGTTTTATAATAATAGCAACAGTTTACGTTTAGTGAACACCTATTATACTTCCAGTACTATGGTAAAAACTAAAATTCACAACAGCAAATAAAGCATTAAATAACTTAATATCTCATAAAAGAATTGGAAAAATATGTGAACTATAATATATGGTGCTAAGTTCTGTAATAGTAAAAATAACATAGCAAAATAACAATAATGTCCATTTATTGATAATTTACTGTATCCTATGCACTGTGCCAGATAGATACACATATACAGTGTATGTCCTTTTCATTTATTCCTCATAATAAACCATTTTAGGTACATTTTGAGGTATATGAGGCCCTGAGGTTGAATAACTTGTACAATGTCCCTAGATAATAAGTGACAGGGCTGAGATTTGAATCCAGACAAAAGCTGACAAAGCCTGTTTCATCCTCTTTCCCACCAACAAGGGTGCATGATGAAGAATATCTAATTGATATAGATCTTTCCTAGTGGAAGTGATAAAATTATATTTAAGAGGAGACCACAAGAATGTTTTGGAATTAGCCAAGCAAATGACAGTGTGTGTGTGTCTGTGTGTGTGTGTGTGTGTGTGTGTGTGCACACGCACAAGTACACCCGTGCAACGGCTGGAGGGAAATGAGAAGACATAAATAAGAGGAGAGATAAAGGGCTCCTGACAGAGGCTGGCACGTTGCTGAAGCCCAGAAACAACAAAAGCACGATGCAAAAGATGGGGAATTTTAAAAAGCTTGGAGTTTAAACTTTGTTCTGAGAGTTATAAGGAGCCATGGATAGATTTTTTTAAGAAGGGATTTATGAGACAACATTTACATTTGAGAAGATTGTGTTGTCCACATTATGGGGAATGGAATGTAGCAGGGTACATCCGCAAGTGGGGAAGTCTTTCTGAGTCCTCCCTCCAGATGAATGTGTGTCCTGTGTGTATGTTAGTTATAATAGTATATCATATTTTTGTGTTCTATATTTTGTACTGAATTCAGTGATTCAAAAAATATTTACAAAGTGCTGTTATTCAAGGACATTATAAGAAACGAGAATTGCAGCCAAGATCTCTCATGAATCTAGATGCAAAAATATTTAGCAATGTATTAACATATCAAATTCAGCAAATTGTAAAAGAATAATACATCACAACCTCAGAAGATATATTCCAGGTACAGAAGGTTGAGTTTGCTTTAAAAAACAAATCAATGAGGGTAACTTACCACCTTACTGGGAATAAAAGGAGAAAATCATATGATTATATCAACAGATGCAGAAAAAGAATTTGATAAAATTTTACTCCTACTTTAAACTAGCAAACTGGAAATTTAAGAAAATTTTCTTAAACTTCTAAGTTTATGTATATAAATCCTGCAGACTCATGTTGTACTGAAAGAAAAAGACTAAACATTTTTTCTCTAAGATTAGGAACAAAGCAAGGATATTCACTCCCACCTCTGCTATTCAAGATTGTAGTGGACATCTCAGCCCAGTGGGCCAAAGAAATAAAAGGAATAGTATTAGAAAGATAGAATTAAAGTAGGCAAATCCAACTGCAGCTATTGGTTCAGATGTTTCTGCTGGTATAAATCAACATCACCCCTGGTATCTGGTTTGAACATAGCAAAAGCGTTCTCTCTAGCTCAACAAGTAAAATATACCAAAAGCAATTTGTTATCATTTAGCCGTGATTACAGTAACTTTTCCTATTTTGCCTAGTATTATGTCAACTCTCCAACTTTGATCTATAATCGAATCTTCAAGAAATTGGACTGTCTTAGCATCTGTGATGGTTAATTTTATGTGTCAACTTAACTGGGTCACAAGATGCCCAGATAGCTGGTGAAACATCATTTCTGGGTGTGTTTGTGAGAATGTTTCTGAAAGAGATTAGCATTTAAATCAGTGGACTGAATAGCAGATGGTCTTTCTCAATATAAATGGGCATTATCTAATCTATTCAGGTTGAGGACGTAAATAGAACAAAAAGGTAGAGAAAAGTCGAATTAACTCTGCTGGAGTTGGGACACTGATCTTCTGCCCTCAGCATTCCTTGTTTTTAGGACCTCTGATCCAGACTGGAATCTATAGTGTCAGTTCGACTTATACCTTTTCTGGATGAAGTATACCTTTCCTGGATCTCCAGCTTACAGATAGCAAATCATTGAACTTCTCAGCCTCAATACTTTATAATAAATCTCTTCCCACAGATAACAGTTATCTTCCTGGAATCTTTCTAGGAAGGCTTATACCATCTTATGTATTATCCTTATATATCTAGGAGCCAATACCTTATAATAAATGTCTTCCTAGATAGATATAGATGGATGGATGGATAGGTGATAGATAGGTAGATAATCTTTTATTGGTTCTATTTCTCTGGAGAACTC